TGATGGGCACTCATGTTCTCCCTCTCAAGCTTTAATGTGACGGGATTTATAAGCTTTCAGTGTCACTGGAATCTTGGGCATCTTCTTGGAGTAAAAACATGGGAAAAGGTTGAAGGGTTTACTATGGGTTAGAATCAGTCCAGGTCATCCCCTTGCAAAGACTGCTTCTGAGCAGGACCTGCTCAGTTTCAAGTGCTCGGGACCAGGTAAGTTCTGCTAGCGTACAGTTTCCAGAACAGTCAGAAGGTTAACTGGATTGCAGTTGTTTACTAAACTCAGTGTTATCCAAAGAAAATAAAGATAATCATTCTCACATTGCTGTCAAAGCTGCTGTCCCTCGGATCCTCTTAGCTGAGTTTAGGGTCCTTCATTTTACAGAACTTAAGGTTTGTTTTTCTTCTTTTCTTTTTCCTCTGCTGCAGCGTTTCATTATGCTGTTAACTGAGCACTTGGTGCGCTGCGAGACTGGTGGAATTGATGTATTCACACCTTGGTACAAGAGTTGTATAGAGAGGTTGCAGCAGATCTTCCTACAGGTAGGTGTATGGAGGGCTGCAGGCAGGGGATGCCGATGAGAAGCGCCGTGCCTGGAGCAGTGCGCGGCGCCCGGAAGCAGCAGTAGATGGCAGTAGCACGCTGCTGTGGGGGCTGGTGTGGGGCGAGGACGTGACTGCCTCTGGCCACGTCTCTGACACAGATTGGTGGAGAAACTGGTTCTTGCTCAGTTCCCACACTGTGAGTGCGCTGCAAAAAGATACCGAGCTGTGATTAGGCATTTTGCCGAGCTCCTCTTAACTGTGTATTCATATTATGGGCAAAATGGAGAGCAAACTAGGATAGCAAAATAGTTGCCTTTAAAATAAGTGGATTAAAGTATTGCAGAATTCCTTCTAATAAGATGCATAAATAGCTGTTAAATGTCATTTTTGAATTCTTGGCTCCATATTAAATCCGGTAACAAGCACAGGTGGCTGCATGAAAGTGACAGGAATGTAAAATTACACCTGTATGAACAGCAGAACTGTAGAGGAATGGGACTGGTAGTGTCGTCCCCCTCTGAGCTGAACCCTTCATGGGTAGTAGGCCTGTCTCCAGAGGAAAGCAAGTATCGTGATTCTCTTAGGAATCTCTGCAGTTGCATGGGATCCTGCTCACAATTCAGGATCCAGGAGTAAGGAGCTACAGGGAGCTCTTCAAACAGGACTTCCGCACTTGCTTTCTTCTTGCAGTCAGTGTGGCTCAGCATCACACTTTGCCTTGTCAACTGGGCTGTTGTGTTGTGGAAATGAGATATGCTTAGCAACTTCAATGAAAACGTTTGACTTGTGATTCTTACATGTCTTGACCTCTCTGCTTGTTCTTACACAAATACAAATGAAATGTGTTTTGTTTGTTTTATTTGCCAGCATCACCAGATCATCCAGCAATACATGGTTACCCTAGAGAACCTCCTGTTTACAGCTGAACTGGACCACCATATACTGGCTGTGTTTCAGCAGTTCTGTGCTCTGCAGGCTTGAGGATTATTCACGGGCAAAGTCTTGCCTGCAGGACTTTAGTGAATTTAATGTTTGTTTTTTTTACGTTATAAAACTTGATATGGGGATAGAAAAATTTTTGACTAAAACTGGCTTTCGTGTGCTCCAATATAAAACAATACAATACTCTAACCAACAGCAAACTGTGTAAGCATCATAAGCCTTATAAGAGATGGCTGATAGGGGATAGATGTGAAGTAAGAACTATTTTCTTCATCTTTTAAGTTGGTTTGACTTTTGACTTTATGATAGTATTTTCGTTTCTTGTTTTTTATTTGTATAAAAATCAGGAGAAAAAGAAAAGCCAAAAAAAACCCATCCCAATATAAAAGCCCTCGAACAATAGAATTTGTTAGCCTGGCCCTTAAATCATAGGAATTACAGAAATGAGAAACAGTTGATACTGGTTTGTGAGTATGAAAGGGATGCACCTTCTCGGTGAAGTGTGGTAACTTCTCTATTGTGGCATAGAAAAAGTGTCTTAACTTTGGGGATGTGAAACACTTGAGTTTAAGCTTTCAAAGTAGTATAGAGCATTTGGATTTGTTACCAAGCCAGCTAGATTTTCAGTTTGAAAGAACATGGTTTTAATACAGTTGGAATATGTGTTTTTAAATTTATTATGTAGTCTCTTGTTACAGCAGCTACAAAGAAGTGGTAGAGGAACTTCATGGGCAGCATCTGAAAAACTCAGCCCTCCTCACAGTGTGGTCAAAGAGTCATAAATTGCTCCTGTCAGGAGTCTTTACTGGTGCACAGAGACATCAAACCAGGGCTGGAGTAGAACAGACCAGGGACTTCCATGCTTCAGCCCCTACCTGGGTGTTGGGAGCTGCAGCACCTGGTGCCAGGGCAGCTTCTGGCAGGACCTGCTTCAGCTTCTTCCTGTATTTCAGCCTCTTGGGCTGCCACACTTGCACTAGGCTGGACTGCAGGGATGCCAGAAATCTTCCCAGTAATGGTGCTGGATGAACGAAGTGCTCTCCCTTTATCTAGCTCAGTAACCGCAACTTTGCAGTATCTGCATCTGCTGCCATGCCCTTGGTTTAAACATGCGATAACACACAGTTCCCATGTCTTCAGAAAACATTTTAGCACTGAATTAGGTGATATCTCACAGTGGAGGCAAAACAACCCGGGAATAGAGTAGCCTCAGTTTTGAGTTACACAGATAACATTACGTACATGAACAGCAAGCCAGCGTGGTGTCTATTAGGGTAAGCAGTGACAGATGGTAAGGCACTGCCTTAGGTGCTCCAGTTTGCTAGCATACAGGGCATTTCCAGGCTGCTCTTAGCCTCTTGATTTTTCAGGTGAATATTTAAAGGGTTGCATAGCCATTGCTGTTCAGTTTAAGCTTAGAAAGAGACGAGCTTTGAGCAAGTCTGTTCCTGTATGATTTATTTGCTTTCTAAGCACTGTACCTATTAAGGTATTTCAGCAATACTTCAGGATCAGCTGATCTCCTGATCAACCAAGGGGGTTAGAAACGGAGCTTCCTATTTTTACCTACGTTTGTAAGTGGCCAATAGCATTCTCATATATCCTCATAGACTTAGATTTGTTACTTCTTTCTCTGCTTTACCTTTTCTGGTTTGGTTCTTCCTTCCATTACTTCAGGGTATACTGTTACTTGTTGTAAATTTGCTTTATGCAAGGGTTTTGCCAGCCATGCACAGACTAATACTTCAGATATTTTTTTGTTACTGTTCTTGAATAATCAAATAGCTGTTTGGGTCTTTTTTAAAGAAACATTTAATACTGTAGAGATTTTAATTGGGTTTTGATAGTTTTTTCACTGGCTTGGACCAGTGTCAGAGTTCTGATCCTAGCTGATACTAGCTAATGGTGGGGGTCTGACTATAAATGTGACTTCCATAAAACTGATAATGCAGTTAGTTAAAACTTGCGAACCTGTAACTTCCTCTGAGCCTTGACAAATACGGGTGCTTGAGATCCAGTTGCACATGCCTGAGCGCATAATCCTACAATTTAAAACCACCTAGCACTGTCTTTCAGAATCGATTTGATTTACATGGCGTTCATGGGCTGTGATGGCATTTCCTGCCACCTTCCCCTCTCTGTGGGTCCAGGGCTGTACACCTGACATGACCGGCACACTGGGGACGCTCACAAAGCAGTACCACCAGCTGACTGGATAACCCTGCAACTGCCGAAGCATGGGGGGGGGTGGCGGGTAGTGTAAAGATGCTGTAGAAATGTGGTGCGGTTGGGGGAAGAAATGCACAATTAAAAATAAATGAAGGTGAACCAGGTTGTTACTGCAGTGTTTGTCCTACTGCTTCTGGGGGCTCTTGACACAACGATGATGGGGGGGCGGGGGTGGGTTCTGATTTGGGGTTCATGCGGCCGGGGTGGAGCAGTTTCGTTTCCGCAGGGCCGTGGCTGGTCCCGTGACTAACACAGCGCCAGCGCTTCTCCTGGCACCACGGCCGGCTCCAGCGGCCTCCCTTGTCCTCCTGCGGGCCGGGTGAGGCAAGCATGGCGCTGCCAGTGCCGCGGGGGCTGGCGGGGAAACCCTCCTCTGCCTACCGCCTCCCGGCTGCAGGGCGGCCGGGCCGGGCTGGGCAGGGCCGGGAGCCGGTGCTGCCCGCCGGCCGTGAGTCAGCGCCCAGCACACACCGGCCCTGCAGACGAAGTACGGGGCCCAGCGCAGCGCCGGCACCGGCCTTCTCCCGAGGTGCCCCGGTCCCAATGGTGGGGGGAGGCCGGTCACCGGGCGCTGCCTGCCCGGAGGCGGCAGTGAAGGCTCGTTCAGGGACCATCGCCACCTGCCCACCCCCGGCTCCGGCACCTCTGCCTTTAGCGTTTCAATTCACAGCCGCGGGGGCCCGGGCTCCCCAGAGCCTCCGGAGACTTCGCAGGTTTTTGCAATGTGCATAATAGCAAACAAACGCAGAGCGTGTTCCCTCACTTCAGTCGTTTCCATCAGCATTCCACAACAGCTGTGAAGATCCGAAATTTGCACCTGAAAGCAAATCCACCCTCCATTGAAAGCAAACGGTTGGGTGCACTTAAGAGATCTACCTTGGAATGCCACTTCCCTTCTGCCCCGAGGAAAGGCATTTACCCTTTTCAGTTGCAAATTTCGGACAGAGCTGCCGTGTGAAAGCAGCCTTGGTCTCTGGCCCGAAACTTAGGGGGGTAAAACGCTGTAGAGGATACTGCTAACAACTCTCCCTTATGAATCACGCCGAGACGTGTCAGAACCTCCCCAGAGCAGGCGCCGTTCCTCTTGGGAACGCTCGCCTTTAATAGAGCCGAATCTCCCAGCTTAGGTCTCCCACCAGCAGGGAAGTTGCTGTATCGGCCAGATGCCCCCTCCCCCAGTAACAGCAAACCGGACCAGCCAGATCGAGCGTAAAACCCAACGCGTATTGTTTCTGTACTGAGCTGCTTACAACCAATGAACCCCATTCCTCAGAGAATTCGGCAAAAAGCTTGTTCATGATCAGCATTTATTTGACTTCGATACAAAATACAATTAAAAAGATAACTGGGGGGGAATGATTATCACTACATCTTCTCGTAAGTTAATTCATGGCCACATGCAGTACATGTCTTTTTATAGGTAGATTCGTCAATGTTTTCTTCTGGTCCATACTCATGTTCGTGGATGCTGGCTTTTTTCTTCCACAGACTACTCCTCACGGCACGGCGGAGTTCTGTTGGGAAATACAAGAAATTTTAAGGATTTGGTAAATCTTAAGCAACAGTTAGTAACACTCAAGCTAAACAGGACTAGAGATGCCAATCTGCGTGTTGCCTGTTTTCCATACATTTTGGTGAGAATCTGCTACTGCAGGAACAAGCTCTGACTTGCCTGGCAACCTTTGCCTTGTTTGCATCTTTTAAAGGAGGAGAACTAGCCTGACAACGCTGCCTCACAGGGGAAGATTTTCCACACGAAATACATACACGTTGCCCTCTGCCTTTTTACACAGAGCCATTCCAAGGTATCCAAGAGGGGTCAGTGCAACGCAGAGTTTTCGCAAGAACACCCGATTTGTTTTCCCCGGGCAGGGCAGAGCACTTCTCATTCTGGTCACAGCAAGCCTCCTGGATGAGCTGGCACTCAGCTCCAGGCCCAGTGCTGTGAGCTGCACCGCAGCGAAGCCGGCGGGTTCCAGGCGAGCAGGGCCTGCCGAGCCCGGGATGCTTCTCCGGATGTTGCAAGCACACGGAGCAGCACAACGCCGCCACGTCGGAGCCAAGCTGCTCGGGCTGCACACCCCGTCATGTTTAGGCCTGTGCTTGTACTCTGATCCGGCATCTTGGCTACACCGAGGCCTGGTCCCCCCATGCACCACAGCCAGCCCCGCAGAGCACAGCACAGCCGGGTTATTTGCTCAGCCTCACGCTGGGCCCCTGCCAGACAATACCAGTACAGCCAGCCTGAGCTCTCCCTGAGACTGCCGACGAAGAGAGAAGCACAGATGGGCGGCACAGACACCATGGTAAGCCACAGCTCTTATGAAGGAGCACGTGGTCTTCTTAAGATTTCAGCATGTCTGTGCTCAGAGTACTTTTAAGAAGTTCCACTCTCTTAAATACTAATTTTTCAGGGAAAAAACAAGGATAATGAGAAGTAAAACCAGCAGCTGGGGATGCTGTGAACAGTGGGAAAAGGCATTTTCGATGTTCATTTACATTTACTCCACCTGAAAGCACATGCATGACAGAATTATACCCCACCGCCACAAAAATCCAGTCTCCCCAAGTCAGAAAACATAACCATCTATGGCACATTTTGGGTCATAAGAAAAAAAAACATTTAAAGCATCATAATGAACCACTGTAGTTGATTTCTCTCACACCATGCCCACAGGACAAGAGGGTAATTCAGGTTGGAAAGGACCTCAGCTCCCTACCAGAGGTCCAACCCTCTGCCCAAAATAGTCAGCTATGAGGTCAGACCAGACTGCTCTGGGCTTACCCACACAGCTCCTGAAAGCCTCCATTTTGCCACACAAAGTATTCTGAATACTTTCATCAGATGCAGAAACAAATTTAAGCAGAACTGTACTTCAGGTACTGCAATATGTAAGTTTATCTCTTTACCTTTAACTTTCTTATCAAACTTCTTCTGTTTCATCTTCTCTCTGTTGCCACGGCGCAGTTCCTTTGCTTCTTGCAATGATTCTTCACTACCCCAGACTTCAAGGGAACGCTTGATTACCTACAGGATGGACAAAAATGTTTCTTTTTGCCCTGAAATTATAAAAGTAAACTATTCTAACTCACAAATGTAATTCTTTTCCCCTACACCAGCCAACCCTATCTTGCCTCAGCCTCCCATCTCTCACTTTTGACTGCAAACCTGCATTCCTTCCACAGTAAGAGGCAACACTGATTTTTAGTATTAGTAAATGAAACAATTCAAACCCAGCTCTAATTTTGCACATATTCCACTAAAGCAGAAGCACACCTACAAAAGTAGCAAACAAGAGCCCTGGAAAACCTACTTGCCTTTCCTGCTGCCTCTGAGGGGAGAGCTGCAAACACGAGGCCACAGCTACAAAGGACTGCACACAGCAGCAGCTGCCCCACACCATTTCAGCCACTGAAAGGCCATGTGCTTCATGACCTGCAGCTATGCACACCACCGGGTTGTGGGCCATGAACATCTTTACAATGCTCCCAAATCATAGACAATTCCATGAATTTGGACCACAGCTCTTTAACTATACAGAAAATTTACCCCAGCTACCCAGAATATACTTAATTTTGACAAAGTCATTCAGAAATCAGAACCAAAGCGACAATATTTTGGCTAACAAAGTTGTAAGAAGGTAAAAAGAGTTCTGAAATACACTAAGTTTCTGTACCTGTGGTTTTAAATAAAGTTTCATGTCACCCCATCGTGAATTATGAGGGTTTTTCTTCACAATGAATCTGAGCACTGGTTCCCTCTTATCCAAATCACAGTCTTTAAGAAGATACTCTTCTTTTGCTTCTGTCCTTGTTATAAGCCTGTGCTTATCTTCAGTGTCTCTGGAAGGCAAAAAGCTGCACCTGAAAGCCCTGTTATTAACATCTAAATCCCCACCATTTCTAACATTCCTGAAATACAGGCTGCCCTCATCCACTCAGTTTTTTATGTATGCAAATAACTTCAGATTCCGACAATCTACAGCTAAACTCCAGGCTGGGTTTACAGAAATTAAGTTCTCCCATTTGAGCACACATAGGCCGAGAAGCCTGTTTTTCTAGAAGTGCTTTTCTTATACATTCTTACAAGAGGGAGTAGCTGAAATTTAAAAAGCATGGATAATTTTAGGTATTCGCCTAACCCAGATGCAACTCAAGAGGAAAAAAGCATAAGCCTGACACAGGGTCAAAAGAGAAAGAATACATAATGCAAGACAGGTCAGATCACCTGAGAATATACACACCCCATATGCTTCTAGATCCCAGAATCAGATTAGCAACACAGGCAGTGCACTCGCTTCCAAATGCAAATAGGCAGAGGAGCCATGCAATAAAGACTTTAGATTTTACCAGTCAGTGAAAAACTCTGCAGCCACAGCAACATTCATGAGTTAATAAAAAAAAAAACCCTACATTTACGCAATCCTGACTGAAGTGTAACTTGAATTGCTCGAGCCGGAACAATCTGCCAAACAGTAATTGCTAGCAACGGCCATCAAGGAAACGCTGCTGCCAATGCAGCTTTACTAGAATTCGAAGTGCACCGTAAAAGCTAATGCAGCAACGAATCGCTAGTGCTCAGCTGCAATAGCTCCGACAGAAAACCACTCCTCAGCCTCAGAACCCTCTGCTTGACAAGCTCCATCCACCCACTTTATCGTGGAGACAGCACTTTGCCTCTAATGACTGAGCTGCCCACACCATGTGCACACCCTGGCCGCTCCCTGTAGTAAGCAGGGAAGCTCTCAGAACAAACTCCCAGCTGCTATCTTTGGTTTTTTTGTGTGTTTTTTTTTTCCTCCCCCATTCATTCTGACACTAATGGCTGGTTGGCTGCTGCTTCAGAGTCCGTTTCACTACCCGCTTATCTCTGCGGCTTTTGGAGCATTTTCTGTTTGAGATAAGTGTCTTCTGCCCAAGGTCGAACTCCTGCTTACCGTGCAGCTCAACCCGCTAACATCGCACGGGGATTCTGCCCTTTGGCCCCCTGTTCCCGGCTCTCTTGTGCTGATCAAAGTACTAACTTTATTCAGGTTAATTCCCGAAGACTGCAAATACTCTCCTAATCCCCGCACTGCTTCAGAAAGGGGTTACTCTGCGTTCTATCAGCATTTTGCATAGCCGTGGTCTGCCACACCGAACACATTTCCATGCCGACAAGCACGCTTTATCGCCCTCTAAGACACCATCTTTCCACCACGGTAACGCCAAAAACCCACCGATGTTCCTTAACCCCGACGCAGGCTCACGAGACAGTGCGCTGTTCTTCACTCCCATAAGGGGAAATACAGGTAATCCCACAGCCCCCGTTTACTTTTTAAGTATTTAAAATTACTGATAAACGTCTCTCTGCCGACAGCTTCTTTGATTAATCAGCACATTTGTAATTAACTCTATCATAGCTAGCAATCTTTACATAAAGTTTTCTTCTGATTATTTGCAATACCTGCAATTATCACATGTTGCCCAATCAAAGTGCTGCATAAGGTACGAATCCATGAATTCTTTGCCACAGTCTCCACAGATAAGATAGTCAAATTCTAGTACAGGTGCTAATGGAAAAAGAAATTTTTTTTGTTTTTAGGGAACTGCAACATTAAAAGCCAAACATCTGGAATTGGTATTACAGACAACTTTACTAGAATTTACATTATAGAGGTATTTGTTACAGACTAGTTTCACTCCTCTACTGAAGTTTTCCCCGACAGATACAAGTACAAATTAAAACCCATTATCATTTAATTCTGTCTCTGCCGGTGTTATTTTTGTTCTTGCTGGAAGGTTAACTATACAAAGTATTCGACTTCAACATTTAAATGCACACATTTGTTTCAAGTTATCCATTGTTAAAAAATAAAAAAAGAAAAAAAAACAACAAAACCCTCCCCGTTTCCTCATGAAGTGCTTCATATCCCCTCCTACAGCTTCCTCCATTCTGGCCCTCCAAAATACGCCCCGATTTTGAGAGGACGTGCAGGCAGTAACAGGAGGAAGCAGAGAAGGGGATGCAGTTTGAAGAGGGTGGCATGAGCAGGAAGTGGCGCTGGAGCAGCACTGGTATCATAGTCCTCTCAGTCTGCTCCAGTTTTTTTCCTAGCTCAGCCACACCTGCCTCTCCCCTCAAAGAGCTCAATGGAGGCCATGGGATAGTTGCAAAAGCTCTTTCTTGTCTGTTCCGGGTGGCAGAAACGGAGGAGGATGGCCAGAGAGCTGCTAGGAGTGGAATGGGGATGGAGCTCCACTACAATCCTCTCCCCAAGCCCTCTCAGCACTGCTCCAAGCCCAGACTCATTTCACTGCCAGCTACCGCTGCTGGACGCATCCTCGCCGGGCAGATCACCTCCAGCGTCATCGCCATCCGCTTTACGTTCCGTGGGACACCGAGAAACACCGCAGCTATGAGAATCGCTCCTCTAGCAGTAACATTGTAATTCTAACAAAAATTCTAACATTTTTATACAATTTCACGCGCTAGAAGTGAGGCAATGCTGCAGAATTTTAACAATACCTGAAAAATAAGATTAATGCTTGATATGCAGCACCATACATTTTTAATTACGGTTGCATTTATAGCAGATTCGGTCTAACAAACGCGACATTTTATGCCAATTCAGCCCCGCAAGCGACAGGGGGGGATGCTCGGTACTTCACATAGTCATGCTCTTACATCACATTTCATCATTTCAGGCAGTACTCCCGACCGTAGAGGCATTTTATTAAGACAATGACATCAAGAATTACACAGCAAAAAACACCTCCCCCCGTGCAAAGGCATCCCAGATCCATTAAATTTATTGTTAAACATTTATACCTCAAAAGAAGTAAAACTGCTCATAATTTACAAGCTTAATGAATCTGGTGGCGATTTCTAACAAAGAGATACTGCACCAATAGCCCCGCAGCCGATTCAGAGCAGAACAAAGCAAGACAAAGGCAATCCCAGAGAAGAAACTGGGTCTATTTTGGGATCCTTACTTCTCCATTTGCTCTCTGGAGGGAGAATATCACTGGACAATGTGTTGAAATCCCCCACCAACCGATCAGCAATTTGGCGTCGGAGTACGTTTTATAACGCTAAAACCTGGCACTGCAGCAGTGCTCTCAGCATAAACGCCATCAACCTCTAAATTCCCAAAAACCAACGAAATCCCGCGGATTCACACTTACTTTGCTCTCAAAATTCCAATTCCCGAAAGAAATCGTAGAAATAAGGCTTATCGAAGAAAAAAAAAAAAAAAAAAAGAAACGTGCTATATATACCCAAGGGCACTGGCTGTGTCCCACTTCCGCGGCTTAAAATTCTCCATTTTTAATTACCGCGTGCTTAATGCTGAAAGAATTCGGACGCGCCAGGAATTCAGCACATCCAGAAAGGGGGAACGAAAAATAGGGAAGGAAGGGGGGAGAAAAAGCGAAAGAAAAAAAAAAAGAGAAAAAAAGAGGGGGAGAAGAAAGGGGTGGAAAAAGCCCGGGAAAAAGAGAAAGGCGCCCTCTCTCCCGCTCCCTCCCGCCCATGCCGCCGCTCGCTGCTGCCCCCGCTCCTTCCTGCCCTCCCGCGCCAGCCCCGCGCACTCGGCGCCGCCTCTTTCCTGCTCCGCTCCCTCCCCCGAGGGTCTCTGGCTTTTTTTACCGGGGGGATGCACGATTTTCCCGGCGCCGCCGCCGGGCCCTTCCTCCAGCTCCTCCTCCTCCTCCTCCAGGAAGAAGCCCCCTCCCGTATCGACGACCTTGGCGGGGGCCCTCACCCGCTGGCCGCCTGCGGAAGACAAACGAGACGCCGCGTTAAGTGCCGCGGCTGGAGCCGCCGCCAGCAGAGGGCGCGCCTGCGCACCCCCCTTCTTCCCCCACACCATTCCTCTCTTCTCCCACCCCTCCCTCCCACCCCCCCCACCCCACCCCCCCCGCGCGCGCGGAGCCGGGGGCCCGGCGCGCGCATGCGATGGACCTCCTTTTTCCCCCCTCCCCCCCACCCAGCAACGTGGGGGAAGGGAGGGGGCCCTCGCGCCTCTCGGTTTACCCCCATTCACCCCCACACCTCCCGCGCTCCCCTTTCCCCCCCCCTCCCCGTTTCCTCTCCCGCCGGCACTAAGCGCGCCCCCCCCCCCCCCCCCCCCCTTCGCCCAAGGAAAGAGAGAAGGGCGCGGGGAGCTGCCCGGCGAAGCCGGAACAGTCCAGCGCCGTCCGACCTGCGGCAGGATAGGGCCGAGCCGCCAGCCGCGCCTGCCGCAGTGCCAGCGCTCGTTGCCGGTTCCGTTCCATCTTCGCCAGCGCTGCCGTCGAAAGTGACGGTCGCTCGGCCGATGCCGCCGAGGTCTCCACTTTCTCAGCCGTAGCGACGGGTGCGGGTGCTGGTGCCGGTGCCGCGCCCGCCATGGCGGCGGAGGAGGCGCGGAGCGCCGCGGATGCCCCCCTTGCTCCGACAGCCGCGACTCGCCCTTCCCCTCGCACGAGTCGCGCCGCACTGCGCCGGCGCACAGCGCGAGGCGGGGGAGGGGGCGAGAGGGGCGAGGCCCTCACGCATGCGCGCAGCCGCTGCCTCGCCTCCCCGCACCGCCACGGCGGACCCCGCCTCTCCGCCGCGCGGGGCGTGCCGGGATCCGCGGCGGGTGGGGGGGGTTGCAAAGGAGGGGGGGAAGGGGTGCGCGGAGCCTGGCGGGGGGGGGGGGGGGGGGGGGCTGCGTGGCGTAAGGCCACGAGGGGCTGTGGGGGGGGGATGTCCGGGCAAACGGACGGGGCGTCCGAGGGAAGGGGACGAGGAGCGGGGACCGCCGCAGCGGCGGACCCGGTTTTGGGTCCCAGTGCGGGTATCGGGGTGGGGTGGGGAGGGGGAGGGGAGCCATGACCCTGCGATTTCCGCGCTGGGCCGCGTGTGCCGCTTCGAGCGCTTTCTGCAGCACCCCCCGCTGCGGGCTTGGGCAACCCTGTGGAGAGAAAAAAAGCAGACACCGCACCGCCCGTTCCTCCCTTCCCCCCGCCCGGCGCGGCGGCAGGAATTCCTGAGCAGCGTCACCCGCCAGATCCCCCCTTTGTCCGCCTCCCCGCGCCCTCCGCAGCGGCCCCGCAGCGCGCCGCGTCCCGGCTCCGCGCCGGCCGGGATGCCCCGGTTTTCCACGCGCGCGCCATTCCCCGTTCCTCTGCCCGCAGACAGCGCGGCCCCGGTTCCCCCGGGCGCGGCCGCGGCAGCGCCTTGCCGGGCCTGCCCGAGCAGCTCCCGAGCACGTTTTTCAGCCCCGAAAAAAAAAAGGCACTGAGCTGGTTCGGCGGCTGCTCGGGAGACCGGGTGACCCGCGCTGCGCTCAGCATGGCACCGGCGGACTCGCTTACCGACATTCCCGCCGCTACCTTTAATGGTTGCGCGTGATGCGAGAGACCGGAGAGAAGAAATGCAGCCTGTAGCCTTCCTTATTGATGAGATACACGTAAATGGCTTTGTCATGCAAATGTGGCTCTAAGCCACTTTCATATAAAGCCAGCTTAATGCCCAACAGCCAGTGACCCTCCCTCGTCCGTTAGGCAGCGCCTGCCCCGTCCTTGAAGAAACAGGGACGGCGGCGCTGGGGCAGATGTTGGCTCCGGCCACCATGCCGAAGTGGTGTGACCTTACAGCGCTGAAAGGAATCGTGTCCCTGTAGTCCTGCCCTCCCCACACCCCAAAAATAAGGCCTTTCTCTTTCACGAAACGAGTTTTCCTACCAATCCGTCCCCGCTGCCCTCAGAAAACATCCCTAGTGCTTCTCGGTCCCGGTCCTCCCTGCTCGCAGCGACTACCCGGCTTAAGCCGGGCTTCTGCTATGCCGAAAAACACATTTTGATTTCCTTTGCAGGCTGGTACTAACTTTAGGCAGCAGCCGGCAGAGTGTGCTGTGAACGCTGCAAAAAAGACACCCCACTTCTGGGAATTTTTTAAATATACGTACATATGTATATATATTTAAACGCGGATGAAGACATCTTAAGTGGTTCAAATATCTGCATGAGCAGTTGGTAGTTCCTCCTGTCAATTACAATACTGGTCTCGTCACAGATCACAGAACCTCCTCCTTAAAAATTAATAGCCGAGTCATACTAAACTGCCTGCTTCCAGCAAGATAGCTTTTCAGTGTTTGTGCAAAGTTGGAAAGTCGCCACAATGAACGTGTCCGGACACCTTTCACGGTCACAGAGAAGGGTCTGCAGCACGAGGTGTTTAATAGATGAAAATTCAAATTGTAATCCTGGCCTACCGGAAGCAGCTTACGAAATGGAGCAGCATGAGCATACATTTCTGCAGCCTCATTACGCTCTCCTTTGGACTTACCGACGGTAGAGTTACAGAGAAATTAATAAATGCGTTAGAAGTAAGTAAAATAGAAATAGTTTTAAGCAAAATGTTTACTACGTGGCTTGGAAAGTTTCTGCTTGAAAAGTAAACACAACTTATCTGTGGATTCCTGATTTTATTCGGGTGTCAGTCTTTTCTCCCTGGGCTCTCTATGAGTGGAAATTTCGGGAATAATGAACTTTTGAGTTGTGCTTAGGGGTTAACAAACAGTTCATTCACAAACCAAAAACTGAAACTGTGTTAAATTGAAGTCAAGTTTGGGACACTCTGTGAGGGATTTAAGTGCAGAAGGTCGTTATTAATTACGCAAACAAACTGAAAATGAGAATTAGAAGGCAATCAGAAGACATAAACACAAGCAGATTCAGAGGCAAGGCACTCAAACAGAACTGGCACTGGGCAGCAGCTATCTGTGCAGTGCACTAGCGCTTTATTGAGTGAAACCGTTTTAGAAATTTATGCTGAAGGGCCTTTTTTTTTTTTTTTTCCCTGGCTTTTTCTCAGGGTCATTACGACTGAGCAATCACAGCAGAATATTCTCCCCATCTCTGCTTCAACTAGAATGAATCAAATACAGTGCTTCTAATTTTCATGGTCATGAGAAGGTAATAAAATAATAATTATGCATTAGCGAGGGGTAACAAGACTATCTCACATGCACTACTCTGCTCATGGAATAATACCCATATTTAATACTAAACACACATCGCTCAGCGGGTGTACATGGTGTACATGATTTAATAATCATAATGTTACCTGTGTTTTCGGTAGTTTTTCAGGTGCTGCATGCCAAGTAATACTCGATATTACTTGGCTGCTGGTAGCCATGAATTAAAAAGTAGCTTTCATTAATTGGCAAGTGGAGACATGCATTATTTCATAGCCACAGAGAACAGCATCAGTGTGAGTAGTTGAGTGCAGGGAGGCAGCTTAGCAGTGCTTGGCAGCTCATCCTCCCTTGGAGAAAATGGCGACCAGCAAGACAAGAATGTTTGCTGACTACACAAAACTTTCTCAAGTTAGCAGGGGTGAGGGTCATCTTTAAAGAATGTGGGTGACTCGGCAGTAAAAGCATAGATTAAATACAGGGTAGATAAATGCAAGATGACGTATGTGCGGAAACCTAGACCTAACTTTACAGAAACAATAGCGATATCTGAAATGGCTCCTTGCCTCTCAGGAGGGGGACTCTCTGTGGCCAGCAGAAACACTAGCTTGGTGTTTGGAAAAGCAAGGCACGTTTTAAGGAAGGGGACAGAGAACAAAACAGGGAACATATTTATGGCATTCTACAGATCTGTGGTGAGTTCGCACCATTAGAGCTGTGCCTGGTTGTGCTTCCTGCTTCTTAGAAAGGAAACACTGGAACAGGATAACAAGGATGCTCGGCTATCTGGCTTTGTGTCCCTTGAAAGGAACAATAAAGTAGGCTCAGAGTTCTCACTCAAAAGAAATTGCTGAGGAAGGATATGCCTACGTAACTTGGAGAGGGTAGGCAGCAACTGGCTTTTTTTGAGTACAAACCATCAGATTTGTGGTAGTGGGAGAACAAGAGGTGATGGTTCTTCAAGCAGTCACATGGGAGTGGATGTGAACAGTGCCTTTCCAAATGGCACACTGGGTACAGGGTGTTTCTCTCAGGAAATCCCCAGAGCTAAGAGCAGTTGGAGGCTGTGGGAGTGTTGCAGAAGAGGTATCTCATGTATTTCCCTTGTATTCCTTCTTCCCTTGGTGTTCCCTTGTGGAGGAAACAGGAAGTTGGGCTGAACCAGTTCACCATCCCAGGCAGTACACCTCTTCCTCTGTATTCACTCAGGGTCACACTGTAACTGATACTTAAACACCTGGAGCCACTTAATAGGAAGTAAGCATGTGTGATGGGATCTTTCAAGCCAGATTCAATGTTCATCTGTACCAGGAGTTACTTACAGAGCAGCTGCAGGGCTGTGTATTTTTCCATTTGGCCTCATGATACACTTATTTCTCTGCGTACACAAAGTCTTAACAGCAGTCTGCATACAGTTGCATTGCCTACTACCAAACCATCTTTGGCCTCCCTCAGTAAAAATATTTGTTCCATGAGAAACAGATCTAACAAAGTCTTACTTTTCTATAGGTTTGTCTTCTGCAGGGAGTGGCTGTGGAGAAAAATCTCTTTGCTGCTCTCCTCCCCCCCCCCCCCCCCCCCCCCTTTTCCCTCTCCTTCTCCCCCTGATGGCTCAGAGGGTAGCATCAATTTTAGCTGCATTTGAATTCTGTAGCCAGCAACTGACCATCCAATACACTCAGGCTGTTGGCTGCTGCCTCTCAGCATGACTAAGACATTGGATTTTGCCCAGGGATTTCAAATGCTTTTATGCGAGAGAAGAGTTCAGTTGCATCCTTAGAGATGCGAAGCAAAAGACACCGTGTCCTTTGTGATTGTATTCCCATCAGGTTTTTAGTTTGATACACCCATTTCTTACATTACCTTAAGCAAATAGATTGCAAAGTGTTGCTGGCTTCTTGGTGAAAAAGAAGCATGTGACCTGGGAAAGATGAGGAAACTTGTTAAAACCAGAAAGTGCACCTGCTTGGATTTGTATGTCCTCCTCCTAAATTCACCTATGCTGTAGCTCATGGATCAGAGATACACGTGAGTCATCCTGTTGGGCAGAATGGGACATGCAGAGTAAATTAAGTTTGCCATCTCTGTGAGATTTTCTCCTTTGCTTACTACCTGTAGGAGGGGATTTTCATGGTAATGTGACCTGTCTTCACGCTCCATTTATCATCTCCCAGTTGATGTATATAATCTTGGTTGAGCAGATAGATAATGGAGGAAACACGTAAAGTGTTGAATGCTTGAGCAACAGATCTGAAAAGAACAGGTAGGCAAGAATTGAAGTGCAAATGATAAAGACAAAAATTGGCATTCTTCCCTGACAGAAGGTCTTAATGCAAGTTTGTTATTATTTTTTTGTTACAAGAGATGTCAGAATGTGAAATTACAATGTAAATATCTTTTATTTGCTAGCATTGTACATGACTTTTGTGTTTTATTGCTTTTACTGAATAGTACTTTAATATGTTTGCTTTTAATATAAATAGAAAACACTGGTTTCACATCTGTGAACAGGAAAATGTCAAGGCATGATGAAAAAAAAAGCTGCTTTTTACTGTTTCAGAGATCGCCACAAAGCTGCAGGCTTTTGTTGTTGATTGCCAATCCAAAAAGAGAAATCGTCCTTTGCTGTTTT